GTTTTTTAATTGCAGCATTAAACCCCAGATGTCATGTTTCCAGTTTGGACCTAAGCCAAGCTAGGAGAGGCATCCATTCAAGGCAAACAGCTGATGAGAAGAATGTGTGCAGTGAACTGGGGGACTCAGTCCAGTTGCTAAACCTCAGGCTCTTTGCCCCCATATCTAGTGCCTTAGGACATAGGGACCCTTGGCTGAAGTGGAGGATAAAGAAATGCTACTACATTTCCTGCTGCATCCACTCCTCCCCAGAACACTCAGGTTTACTCTGGTTGTCTCTAAGAGTAGAAATTCCCTGTAAGTTACTCATCACTATTTAAATACTGTACTAATTTCATTTGATAAGTAAATTGTCAATTGCCTTTAAAAATTGGTCTTAATAATTAGTAAATCTAGGCATTTCAGCCTCTTCTTCCATCTAGATAAAATAATTATGAAGCCAGACTGTAATCAGACAAAAAGAATCTTGAAACACTCTGGGCATTCTTTTTTAATCTATCATTTGCCTTTTTAATTGCTACCTTTCTGGGGGTTTTTTTGGGGTTTTTTTGTTTTTGCGGTACACAGGCCTCTAATTGTTGTGGCCTCTCCCATTGCGGAGCACAGGCTCCAGACGCGCAGGCTCAGCGGCCATGGCTCACGGGCCCAGCCGCTCCGCGGCATGTGGGATCTTCCCGGACCGGGGCACGAACCCGTGTCCCCTGCATCGGCAGGCGGACTCTTCAACCACTGCGCCACCAGGGAAGCCCACTACCTTTCTCTTTTTAGGCAATAATAGAGGTATAATGTTCCTATTTTTCTTGTAAGAATTTAACTAATACCAAAACGTGTAATGAAGATTCCTTCTAGAAACCTTCTATTAAATATGAAAGTCAGAATTATTTTATTAAAAATCTATGCCTTGGGCTTCCCTGGTGGCATAGTCATTGAGAGTCCGCCTGCTGAAGCAGGGGACACGGGTTCGTGGCCCCGTCCGGGAAGATCCCACATGCCGCGGAGCGGATAGGCCTGTGAGCCGTGGCCACTGAGCCTGCGCGTCCGGAGACTGTGCTCCGCAACGGGAGAGGCCACAACAGTGAGAGGTCCGCGTACCGCAAAAAAACAAAACAAAACAACAAAAAGAACAAAACCAAAATAAAATCTATGCATTGTGTTTTTATACAGAAATACAATAGTTTGTTTTTTAATAGTAAAACTTTAGAAATATCTTAAATCCACAAAAATAAGAAAATGATTAAGTAAATTATGATATTCCATTCAGTGGAGTAGCCATTTAGAATTGTTTACCAAGAGGTTTGAATAACTTCCAACAACAGGATACAGAATTGTATATATATACTGCAAACACAGCTTTCATTTTGGTTTTTGTTTGTTTGGTTTTGTGTCTTTTTTAAATTAAACACACATATATAAAATCAAAGCCTGAAAGGAAAGTATCCAAATAATGGTTATTTGATGGGTAATAGGCTTTTGAGTGATTTTTATTTTTTAATATGGTTTATATTTTTTAGTTTTCCAGGGAGTATAAATTATTATAATAATTAAAAATGCATGTGTGTTTGTATATATTTTAATGCAGTCGTTCAACACTTGAGCTGTTTAGACCTCAGCTATCTTAAAAATTTGGAACATTGCTAAGATTCTGGAAGTAATAAAAAATTAATTCTGAGCAGCCAAAACTAATGTTACAAAACTCATATAATAAAGCATATCATGCCCAGGATATCTGCTGATCCATCACTCAAATCCTGTTTACTCTTGCTTTGCACACAATTCTCAAGACATCTGCTTTACAAGAACACAGCAAATTAGAAGCAAATGTCAAAAAAGGAGAAGCGCTCACAGGCAAGAGCACTGACTCGGCCACACGTGACAGCCTGACAGTGAGAGAGGACACAGAAAAGCCTGAGTGCAGACTTAAGAACTCGGACTCAGATCCCCGATTCAGAAACACGCCCCTGAAAGGCCCATAGTCTCTCTACTATGTCATAGTTAGTAAGACATGTTAATACTGATGGCCCAAAGTTATCAAGAAAATACATTTTTTAATTAGAAAATGAATAGATACATATATATGTATAACTGGATCACTTTGCTGTACACCTGAAACTATCACAACATTGTTAACCAACTATACTTCAATATAAAATTAAAAGTTAAAAAAAATTTTTTTTTAATTAAAAAAAGGGAAAATACCTTTCTTTTTCAACTTGTTTTAAGATTATAAGAAAGACTGGGGCTTCCCTGGTGGCGCAGTGGTTGAGAGTCCGCATGCCGATGCAGGGGACACAGGTTCGTGCCCCGGTCCAGGAAGATCCCACGTGCCGCGGAGCAGCTGGGCCCATGAGCCATGGCCGTTGACCCTGTGCTCTGCAACGGGAGAGGCCACAACAGTGAGAGGCCCACATACTGCAAAAAAAAAAAAAAAAAAAAAGATTATAAGAAAGACTAATAAAAATTTTTGAAAGGTTTCATGGCACATAGCTGCAAATGGGAAAAAAAGTGTGTGATTGTAGGGTAAACGTTAGATATGTAGACTTCCTTATTTGTCTCTGTAATACCTCATCTTCTTACCTTTCTTAAGAGGGAATGTTTTACTGTTACTTAGGTTTTCTAAATTGTATTTGATACTGTCATTAGCCGGGTTCTCATAAAAATCCAGGAAAACTGGGTAAGATCCCAGGATCAGGATGTCAGCAAATGCCAAAGTCTCCATCTCACAAAAGCCTTTGAATCCATGCATCGAAATAGGAGTAATGTCATCAAGGACCTACTGTTGATGCACAGGGAACTCTAATCAACATTCTGTAATAACCTATATAGGAAAAGAATCTGAAAAAGAATGGACATATGTATATGTACAACTGAATCGCTTTGCTGTACACCTGAAACTAACACAACATTGTAAATCAACTATACTCCAATATAAAATTTTAAAAATTAAATTAAAAAATAGGGGTAACACCCCAGACCCAGAGCTTAGCTATAGGTTGGGTGGCAGCAGGGAGGGTGTCAGGTCATTCACCCTTCGTAGCCATAAGTGGTTAAGCACCTGGCCTGTGGTCACGTGCCAGCAATATCACCTTCAGTGTTCCGGGCGGGTTTACCTGGTGCTTCCCACCCCTCATGGGCTGTGGTGGCAGCTGAAAGCGTGGCCTGTCTGCCCAGAATAGACTGACTGTGGGTGGTGCTGATGCTGTTTTGGTTTGATTACCTAGGGCCCCTGCAGAATCATGTAGAGAGGGACACTTGTCAGCAAGTAGCAGTGAAAACAAGAAGGTTGGCCAAAATGTGCAGCTTACCGCATTACTGTGAGTTTTGACAACATATTAACTGAAAACCTAGACTAAGGCCAACAAGTTTTGCTCTGCTTAGTTTTTCTTGAGAACTAAAAACAGTAATTTACTAGTCTATTTGCCTGGTTCTGTGTGTGCCCCAGTGAGCACCCCTAATTAGGAAATCGCTCTTGGCACCAACACTCATAGCCAAGCAAGGGAGCCTGATGGGCACATGGATTAGAAGAAGCCTTTTGGTTGCCTTTCCTCAAGAAGCTTGTTGAACCTTTGCTTAGACCACAGGGATAGTCGAGCATCAGGAGAGATCTGAGAGGAGAGGGGGCAGGAGCTGGCTTAAGGGTTTGGGGCTGTAGACACAGGTAGAAGGAACCCGAGATCCTTTCTTCTTTCTCAGTGCACTTACCATGACTGTAATTTGAAAATGTATTATTTCAATAATTGTGGATGTGTTTCTACTGCAAGATTGGAAGCTCCTCAGAGGCAGGGCCAGCATGTCTTACATCTGTTTCCCCTCCTCAAGGCCTGGCACATGTAGCAGCTGTTTGTTGGATAGGTATAGTTTTAAGTCTAACCTCTGCTCCTGCCTGGTACTTGTTTTTGCAAGCCACTTCTCTGTGTGTGTTTCCTCATCTGAAGAACACCAGTCAGATGGATCTTGTGTTTGCACCTCCCTCTGTCTCTGGACCCATTTTGTTCATATAGTTGTATTGAAGCTGACTAGCGTCAGCCAAGTATGATGTCTAGAACTGTGATTAGTACTCCAGGGGTGGCTTCACTAGCATAGTTCACAAACTGACTATCATTTCCAGAGCCTGGATACTCTATTTCCATTAACTAATTATTATTTTAGACTTAAGAGTAATAACGTATACCCTGCTTTCTTGATGGGGTTTTTGTGAGGACCAAGTGAAATGATGTATATGAAATAACTTCAGAAACTATAATGCTTCGGGTAGCCAAACAGTGATTATTATTGCTGGCCCAAAAGTATCCTCCTGAGAAGTAACTCAAGTTTGAAGGAAGGTACTGAAGACCAAGTATTGTAAAGTGTGTGTGACTAGCGTTATAAAGGAGAGGTCATTTCCCAAGTTAATTTTTTGTTATACACACACACACACACACACACATCTCCTTGGTCCTCTCTCTGCCACTTATCTAATGCAAGGCAGTTAGCATTTGGGTATTGGAAAAGCTATTGATCACTGAGCTATGAGTCGTGGGTTTTAGTCCAGCCTCACCCCTGCCTCGCTGAGGTTATCGTGGGCAAGTCATTGAAGTTCTCTGTCAAATGAGGATACCTGCTTTATGAAGGTAAAATAAGACTTGAATATTAAAAACAAGAATAAGATATTGGTAGCCCTGCAGACATAAGAAGTTGATCACATCCTCATATATTTTTCTTTCCGGATCCAGTCCCTCCAGTTGCCTCGACTCCTCCCCATATGACATTGTCTCTACCCCCTGCCCTACCCTCTGCATATATTTCCGTATATCTTGTACCCTTCCTAAAGGAAGCTCCCAATGCTGAACTCAGAATACTTTATGTTGCATTTTGTATTTGGACACTAAAATTAATACTAAGGTTGAGTATTATCAGTTTGTATTATCTCAAACCTAAATATGTTATTTCCTATCTCTGGATCCAGAAGGTTTAAGCTGAGTTCTGAAGTTGAAAGTAACTTCTCATTTTTGTTTGTCTTCTAGCGACAGACATCACACCTCCAGTGCAATCCCTGTTCCAAAGAGACAAAGCTCCATATTTGGGGGTGTAGATGTAGGCTTCTCTGGGGGGATGCCTTCACCAGACAAAGGACACCGGAAACGGGCCAGCTCAGAGAATGAGAGACTCCAGTACAAAACCCCTCCCCCCAGTTACAGCTCAGCATTAGCCCAGCCTGTGACCACCGTCCCCTCCACGGGAGAATCTGAGAGAAAGACAACATCTCTGTCTTCCTCCTTGGACACCTCCTTGGACTTCTCCAAAGAAAACAAGAAAAAAGGGGTAGATCTGAGTGACAGCTTCAACGGAGGCCATGGGAGTGTGAGCACTAGCCAGGAACAGGGACAAGCCCTCCCGGGGCCTCCAGCCACAGTCAACGGCACCCTCCTGCCCGGCGAGCAGGCCGGCTCCTCCAGCGCCCAGCTTCCAGGGGGGTTCCACCCGGTCTCCGAAGCCGAGCTCTGCTGTACCGTGGAGCAAGCAGAAGAGATCATCGGCATGGAAGCCACAGGCTTCACCTCAGGCGATCAGCTGGAAGCATTTAACTGCATCCCCGTGGACAGTGCCGTGGCAGTGGAGTGTGACGAACAAGTTCTGGGAGAATTTGAAGAGTTCTCCCGAAGGATCTATGCACTGAACGAAAATGTATCCAGCTTCCGCCGGCCACGCAGGAGTTCTGATAAGTGAAGCGAGCGGACAGACGGTAGGACCAGGATAGAGTCACTGCTTGAAATGAGGAAAAAGCTGCACTGGTTACCCTTTGTAATAATTATGACACAAAATGAATATTAATGGAGGATATTCCTCAGAAAAATAGACTTTGTGAATCAAGGAGGGACTCAGGATCATTGTGTATCAGTGGGCCAAAGTTAGATTTTGCTTGCAAGATTTGCTTTTCAGGCCTGACAATTATTTTAAGGCAGAAGTCTAGCTCTAGTCACCTTATAGGCATTTGACTGCTTTTTTATTTACACTTCTGTGTTATCCTCAGAGGGAAGATGATAATATATAAATAATATAATGAATTTACCTTTAGTTTCTTATAAGCATTTGCCCTCACCATAGTTTATGAAACTTTGGGAAAATTGAATATTCAGTAAAAAGGTCTCCAACATCCACTGAAGGATCTTTGGCCATCCATTAAGTTGATGAGTTAGAAGCACAATGGTCTCCTTATACCCAGGCCCACCTGCCCCTGCCCCCAGACTTCACAGTCAACCTAGCTGTCGCCCCTTCTGCACAGTAGATACCTTGTGCATCCTGACGACTGAGGACATCACATTTGCTGGTTCTTTAATGAAGTTGCCATTACCTTCCACCTCTTCCAGTCAGCCATACCCTTGATGCAGCCCTCAGATTATAGGAAAGACCTCACCTCTGGTGGATCCCAGGGGATCCTCAAGGACCCCTGAGGTTACTATAGTCAGATGGCATCCAGTTCCCTCTGGGGGCCAAAGTTATGTGGGCAGAGGCTGTTGTCAAAAGCTGGGTGTGCTTTCTGGCAGCACACTCACCATATAGAAATCCCTATATGTAAACCCCATGTTAATTTATTAAATTTCAGTTGGAAAGGAAGGCATTGTATATGATAAAATATGTGTAGAGTCAGGCTGTCCAGTGTGCAAACTGCAAGGCAGTTGAGGTAGTTAGATTAAGAGACTAGATGAGGCATAAAATACTATCGGTATGTGTGCAATTGCATAAATATTAAATTATGTTTTTGAAGTACATTTTCATTCCTGGAGCTCAGATATCATTTGCTATTGCTATATACTTTATATACCCAAGGACATCGCCTCAGGGTTGCAAGCTCTTTAAGGAAATTTTATGCTTATATCCGTGTATTGTATAAAGAATAAAAATTGAGTTTACTTCACTCAACCTGATTTTTTTTCTTCCCCCAGCTTTGAAATTCCTCTTGAACCTACATCTCCATATGTTACATCGTGACAGCACTGGCCTGAACAAAACCTGTGGCTGTATCTAAGCTAATGCCGTTGACTTCATTTGAGCTTACATATTGTGTGTAGCAACACACCGCCACAGGCGTACTCTGCAGTAGCTCATTTGTCCTCCATAACGACTTAACTCATAGGTTCCATAATCATTTTCATATTTTGTCCAAGCATGCCTGGGCTCAATTATAAACATAGCTACACTGGTAAATGGAGTAGTTCATGTTGTTATTTTTCAGGTAGAGAACTCACAAGATCATTGTATGACAGACAGACCCAACCTGCAAGCAATTAAAAGTTTTAACTTGATCTGAAGAAATCCATCTTATTCCTCTAAACAGGTGGAACTACTCCAAACCTGGAGCGGAAGCCATCTGTAGAGTCACGGCTTCTTTGCAGAGTACTGTCATTCATTTTGGAGTCAGTAAGGGTGGAGCTAGACATGATCTTGGATGTACATCAGACTGGGCTTGTGGGGTCCTCCAGTGAAGTAACATCTACCCCCGACCAAGCCCAAAAAAAAAAGGTTTTGAAGGACTATATTAGTATTGAACAATGGAAGGTGAATCACATGTGACGTGTGATTCTTCAGATATGGGAGAGACCTTTAAACTTCATGCAAAACTCAAAGACAAGGTGCATTCAATGCAGGTCCTCCAGCCCGGTTTCTGGCATCACCAAGCAGAGGGACCACGTACAGGAGCACCCATAGTTACAGTGTTCATCTCAGATTCCACACAGCCAGATAGAGCCTGCAGCTCCGGGGTTCCATCTGTCAGTCTCCCATTTGTGGACTCCCTGATTCTGGGGTTCACAGCTTTTGACCCACACAGCATGGAACCCCACCATTGAATGTGATCTGGTAGGCCAGAACTGATCAACAGTTACCTACACATTTGCCTAATCCACACTGTGTCCAGTGATGTTGTGCCTCAAAACACCACTTAGGTTTCAGTTTATTTAGTTTAGGTTTTGAGTTTTCACTGAGTTTGTTTGATGTCTGCAGTTTCTGCCAAACTTGGGTAGATCCTACAGCATTACATTCTCCAGGAATAACTCTGACATTTCCCAAAGCTGCAGAATTCATTTTGCCTCTGTTTAAAGTGGCCAAGGCCAAATATGGGATGAGGTATTATCTCCTACTAATCTTTGTAATTTTTGCTTTGAGAATGTAAGTTGAAATGAAAACTCAGTCCTATCCATTTCTGAACTGCTAAGAGCCCTTTCAATTTTCATGTAGCTGAGACACTTTTACAGCCGGCAAATGTTATCAGATGAATATTTGCTTGTGTTTTCTCTCTCCACTTCCCCTTACCCACTTTAAAAATTCCAGAGATTTTTCCCCCCCCAGAATATTAGTTTTGGAAGATTGTATCCAGCTATATTTTTTTAGCAGTTCTAATAGTGCCCGTTTATCCTGACCTAACCAGTTATTTAAATAAATTTTTAAACCACCACCAATAATAAATGGCATGTGAAACTGATCTGTTGGTAATTGGAAGAAAACTCAGCATCTGTATTTATAAAATAAAATTGATTAGTATTTATTTTGAGAGTAAAAGTGTATGTTACTTCCCTGCTATGTTTGAGTCCTGTCTTCTTCACTGTTTTGAATTTCATACTAAAGCTGAGTTAACTATGAAAACCTCATTCTTAAACAGTCAGCCAGCCATTCCGCATTTACTGAGCTAGCTCTCTGCCTCTTTGCAAGGGACTGGACTAAACAAGGTTATACAAAGATTAATAAGCCTTGACCTCTGCCACATTCTCCAGTTGTGGGCGGAAGGGTGGCATAAGTATATTAACAATTAAGTATAATTCAGTGTGATAAATTCATGATGGAGAAATGTATAGCCATGCTACAGAATTCAGAGAAAGCTATTCTGCCTCAAGGATCAGGAAAGGGTCATGGAGGTAATACAGATGAAAGATGTATAAGATTTCACATTACAGATGGAGGGAACAGCATGGGCAAAGCCCAGAGGCAAGGCAGGGCCGCATGCGTGTTTGCAAAATTGCAAGGAGTTTGCACTTGGGCCCTGAATGGATGTGAAGAAAGGTGAGAGGAGAAATTGAATTGCAGACCCATGGGGAAAGACTTAAAATGCCAGGGGAAGAGATTTGGGCGGCAGTGGGCGACCGATCGGTACCCTTTCCAGATTTCAAAGCAGAAGAGTAACTTGGTTAGATGTGAGTTATGACTAGCAGCGACGTTGAGGCTGGACTCTAGTGATACTCTTCTTAATCTTCTTCTGTACTATTTTGTTTAGAAAAAGAAGTCTCTGAAAAAGAGGTTCATCCTTGTGTCCTTAATGGTTTCAGGGTAAATACTGAATAATGAACTGGGTTTTTACCGTGTGATACAAAGGGCAGCCAGCATCTATTCTTTAGAAGCTAGATTCCGAATGCCCCAATTCAGCCACTTTGAAGTTATGACCCTGCTCAAGTCATTAAACCCTTAATGACTCCTCATTTCTTAATCTGTAAAGAATTGGAGAGAACTCTGCCCTTGCCATTATGTTTGTATGGGGCCTACACCATCAATGTTGGTTCCCTTTTGTCCTGTGGAAGGCTGCTTGCTGCCTAGTGACAGAAAGGATGCCTCAGACTCGCTAGAACCATTTCTTGTTCTAGCACTTGGGCACGGCCACTTAACCCCTCCGATTCTGGCTCCTAATCTGTCACATAGGGATGATACCTCACACCGATCAGAATGGCCATCAAAAAGTCTACAAACAATAAATGCTGGAAAGTGTGGAGAAAAGGGAACCCTCCTACACTGTTGGTGGGAATGTAAATTGGTACAACCATTATGGAGAACACTATAGAGGCTCCTTAAAAAACTAAAAATAGAACTACCATATGGTCCAGCAATCCCACTCCTGGGTATATATCTGGAGAAAACCATAATTCGAAAAGATCCATGCACCCCGATATTCATAGCAGCACTATTTACAATAGCCAAGACATGGAAGCAACCTAAATGTCCATTGACAGATGAATGGATAAAGTAGATGTGGTACTTATATACAATGGAATATTAGCCGTAAAAAAAGAATGAAATAATGCCATATGCGGCAACATAGATGGAACTAGAGATTATCGTACTAAGTGACGTAAGACAAAGACAAATATCATGATATCGCTTACAGGTGGAATCTAAAAAATGATACAAATGAAGTTATTTACAAAACAGTCACAGATGCAGAAAAGAAACTTATGGTTATGGAGGGAAAAGTGGGGAGGGATAAATTGGGAGATTGGGATTGACGTATACACACTACTATCTCTACTCAATACTCTGTAGTGACCTATATGGGAAAAGAATCTAAAAAAGAGTGGATGTATGTATGTATTTGTATAACTGATTCACTTTACAGCAGAAACTTAACAAACACAACATTGTAAATCAACTATACTCCAATAAATTAAAAAAAAATTTTAAAGTAGGGGTGATACCCACATCTCTCCCCACCCCACCCCAACCCCGCCCTGGGGTCAGATAGAGTGTAAGAAGTGATGAGTATTTTTATGAAACATTTAATGATCTTTACAAAGCACCATGCACGTTGGGAGGAGTTAGTCATTCAACAAGGATTTCTTGCATTGTATACATCAGGCTTTGAAACGGAGGTCTCCATTCGGTACACATTGAGAATGTGTCAGGGCTGAAACTGCTCTTTTGAAAAACAGCTCTAAACAAATGTAAAGTGTTTCGAGGTCTTTCGGTGGGTGGCATGGACAGTGTTGAGACATGGTCCATAAGCCTAATTAGCTTAATTTTTATGGGTTTTTTTTTCTTTTAACGCCTGGCAGATGAGTTTATTTAGGCCACCTCATCCATACATATTCTCTCACGTAGCTTCTGGCTGCCTTGCTGAACGCTGAACTAGTGCCCAGAGCTCTTAATTTTGCTCAAAATAGATAGAGGCTTTTTTTTTTTATTAGAGGCTTTCTTTTTTTTTTTATTTTTTTTCCTCTTGGCGCATCTAACCATGGTTTTGTAGGTAGACAGCTCAGCCTTGTGGATTTTAAATGAATAAAAAAATACATGTCTATAAAATAATTCCACACTTTTTTAGAGACTGGCGATGTCAGCAATCCAGAAAAAGCATGGTCATGAATCTCGATAAAAGTGAAAAAGACAGCCAGTTGGAGAAATAGCTATAGTCAGCCAAGCCCAAGCCCAGAACTACAAGGGGGAGAGTGGTAGGCTCAGATCCTTTTGGCTTTGTACAGAACACAAGTCTAATGAACTTCCTTTCTCTCAGTCCCCATTAAAAGTACAAGCAGCAAATTAGAAAGGAATCAAGGTTGGGAGTAGACAGAAATAGTGGATAACCTGACTCGAAGAAGCAGATACAAACAGGCAGGAAGGAAGCAGTCTGGGCATGTTGAGTGAGAAGCCCTCGGCCCCGGAGAGCAGCCAGTCAGAGGGATTCAGATCCCAGCCCCACCGCTCACTGGCTGTGCGGCCCAGGCAAGGCGCTTGACTTCGAGCCCACACGCTCCTCTGAAAAGTGGTAAGCCCCTTGCTCAGCTTTTCCCTTGCGCCTGGACAGAGACCTCTCTTGCCCTAGGAGCAAATTAGTATTCATTCTTCAAAACCCATCTCAGCTCGCCTTGGGGTCCAGAGCATGGCAGGAAAGGAGAAGACCCCCACCTGTCACTCTCTACCTGTTGTGAATAACTTGGGGCTAAATCATTTCACACAGCCTGCTTCTAGTCAGGGTTTTATATGTAGCAAAACAGCTATTACCCTGCCATCTACTCAAGATCCTCGACGCAGTGGTTGTAAAATATATCACAAAAATTAACAAAACAGCTAGCTTAAAATAACTCAGCTTAAATGATTTTACTGTTTCTAAATAGCCCTCAGTCATCAGAAAAAGGATAAATTCATTTTAGTTTGATAGGAAAATGCATAAAATATTTTAAGGGAGTATGTTATTCAAAATGGTTAAAATAAATTGATACTTTAAGGGATAAACTTGTTCTCTCAAAAATTTACTTGCAAAGAAGTTTTTAATTCACTTATTCCTCAAAGAAACCAGAATCACTGTGTCTTGCTCTTTGAGTTTTGCTGTGTTGTGAAGAGACCCCCAGGCTACTTTACATGCAGATGGTCTGTGAGCTTTCACTCATGCAAGGTGAGGTCTGTCTCCAAGCTTGCTGGCCATGGGGCCAGGCCCTTTGCTCCCAGAAACCTGCCAGTTGCCTTGACTTCTCTGCCCAGGGCACAGGCCAGGGCAGAAAGGGCGACCTTGGGGGGACCAGGGGAAGGCAGGCACTTAATTGGCCTTTTGAAGGAGATTCCTGAGGTTTAGGGGCGAGAACTGGTGGCTGCGCAGGGCTTGGCCATGGCTGGGGTTGCCACCTGGATTGCAGTCACCTCCTCCCTGGCTCCCTTCAGCCACCTTCTTGCCCTCCAACCCATTCTGCATACTGCAAACCCAGTGACCTGTCCTACACACAGCTCTAACCCTCTAGAAACTGTTAAACAAAGGAAAAAAATCAGACACACACTAGTTAACCAAATTGTTGATGAGGGGAAGTTTCTCTTACAGAAATATTCCAAGTAAAATAAAATTCAGGAGGGGTAATAGAATTAGACTGTCACCACTTTGCCATTCTAATGAATCTAATGCATCTAAGACAATGATCATCAGTGGCTGCTAATATCACAAAAAGAGAGAAAACCAGACATTTTATGCCTCCTGATGAAAGAACACAACACCAATGAAGAATTCTTGGCAAAAGTTTGGCCCGAAGTATGATCAAACCTCTATCTGTGGTGTCCAATACAATAGATGCTGACCATGTATGGCTATTTAGTTGAAAAGTGGCTCGTTCAAATTGAGATGCGCTAAGAGTGAGAAATACACACTGAATTTCAGAGACTCGGTACAAAAATAGAATGTAAATTTATATTAAGAATTTTTGTATTGCTCACATGTTGGAATAATACTTTGGATATATGAAATTAAGTAAAATATAATTAATTTCATCAGTTTCTTTTACTTCTTAAGGTGTGACTACTAGAAAATTTTAAATTGCATGTGTGACTTGCATTTGTGGCTCACGGTATATTACTATTGGTCAGAACAGCTCTGGATCTAACTATTAGGAAAATCAGAGGGCAAGTGAGCATGTTAACACCTGGAACATGCAATCAGCAAAATCTAGACAGTGGGAAACTCTATAGGACAAAGAACTTGGTTTCCTCAATAAGTATATTGCAAGAAAAAAACTGAAAGAAGGAAGGGAGAACCTGTTAAGGACAGACACAAGATTTCCCTGGTGGCCCAGTGGGTAAAACTCCACACTCCCAGAGCAGGGGGCCCGGGTTTGATCCCTGGTCGGGGAACTAGATCCCGCATGCACGCCGCAACTGAGTCCGCACGCCGCAACTAAGGAGATCCCGCGTGCCACAACTAAGACGCAGCGCCTAACTAAATTTTTTTTAAAAAAAGACGCAATAGTCATCAATCAATCCCATTATGGACCTTGTTTGGTTCATGTAAATCAAACAACCTTAAAATAAAGGCATAATCAAAATGTAAACACTGACTATTTGATTGTATTAATGATTTTTTTTTAGATCTGATAATAGTAAAAAATAGTGTAACAGTTTTTTGAAAATTCTGTATCTCTTAG